GAAGGCTGAGGCGGAAGGATCGCCAGAGCCCAGCAGGTCGAGGCTGTGGTGGCCGGGAGCGGCTGCACTCCAGTCTGGGTGACAGAGTGAGACTCCAACTCAAAAAAAAAGGTAGCCAAGCATGGTGGCATGTGCCTGTAGTTCCGGCTCCTTGGAAGGCTGAGGCGCAAGGATCGCCTAAGCCCAGCAGGTGGAGGCTGCGGTGGCCGGGAGCATGCCACTGCCCTCCAGCCTGGGTGACAGAGTGAGGCTCCAACTAAAAAAAAGGAAAAAAGGGTAAATTTAATGGGGAGACACCCCTTATTAACAAGGGTGCCTGAACGACACACATTTGTATACCTAACCTTTAACTGTACCCCCAAATTTTAAATAAAAAATATGTTTACAAAAATAAAAAATAAATAAATGAACCAAGGCATGTCCTTTAGGGTCCTGGTACCAATTTTCCAAACAGCAGACTTATTGCCTTTTTCTTTTACCAGTGCTTAGCGTTTCGCGGACTGTGTCTGATTCTTCCTTCAGTTTCATATTTGTGGGTGATGCACACCCATGTTGGAAAATGGCTCATATAGTTCATTGTGGTGTCGTTCCTGAATTTCTTCTTTATCTTTCTGCTGCTTTAAGTTTTAAAACCCACAGTGCCACCATTAAAAGCTGCTAAAATCTTTCAAGGCGGAACGCCGAGGTGAAGGTAAGTGTGATGTGTCGGCGAGACCAGGCTTGTGGCCACTGGGTTTTGGGGCAGCTGCCCTGCTTCACCCCTCCCCAGCTGCTCTGGGCCTGGCCTCCTGCCGCAGTGGCCACCCTGCCTCTTCCCCGGCTGCTCGGGGCTGATTCGCCCGTGCCTTTGCAGGTCAACAGCAGTGCAGAGAGAAACTGGCTCCACATCAGCTCGGATGCGGCTCGCCTGGCCATCATCTGGAAATACGGTGGAGTCTACATGGACACGGATGTCATCTCCATCAGGCCCATCCCCGAGGAGAACTTTTTGGCTGCCCAGGCATCTCAGGACTCTAGCAACGGGGTGTTTGGGTTTCTCCCCCGCCACCCCTTTCTGTGGGGCTGCATGGAAAACTTTGTTGAACACTACAATGCAGACATTTGGGGCAACCAAGGCCCCGGGTTGATGACAAGGATGTTGAGGGTGTGGTGCAAACTTGGAGATTTCCAGGAGCTGAGCGACCTCAGGTGTCTGAACGTGTCATTCCTGCACCCCCAAAGGTTTTACCCCATCTCCTATCCAGAGTGGAGGCGCTACTATGAGGTCTGGGACACAGACCCGAGCTTCAATGGCTCCTACGCCCTGCACTTGTGGAACTACATGAACCAGGAGGGCCGGGCCGTGTTTCGAGGAAGCCACACGCTGGTGGAGCGGCTCTTCCGCAAGTACTGTCCCGAGACCCACAGGGACCTGCCTCAAGGCCCAACTGGGCCTGTGACCGGGAAGCTGGGTCCAGGGAGCAGATAGAGCCAAAGCCAAGTTGTGTTGCCGCAGCATGGAACCGGGCTCTTCCTGGGGTGCCACGTTTTTGACCTCCACTTTGTCTAGGGTTGGGGAGGGTTATCCCTGTAACAGTCAGGACCAGCTTTCACTCTCGATGCTAGAACAATCCCAAAGAGCAGCGCCTGTGAAACACACAGGTGTAATTCTCTCTTATGAAAAGAAGTCTGAAGGCAGGCAGCTCGGGGCTGGGTGGTAAGGGCAGCCATCAGGGACCCAGGTTCCTTGCGTCTTCCTGCCTGTCATCCTGAGCATGCATAGCCCGTGGTCCATGTGGCTAGTTGACCTCCAGCCCACCACACTTGCAATTCAGGCAGTAGGATGAGGGAAAGAGGAAAGGTGCGCCCTTGATTTCAGGCAGGCTTCCTGCAGGGACCATCGAATGCTTCCCCTTACTCCTCACTGGCAGGAACGTAGCTGCAAGAGAGGCCGGGAAACTTAAGGAGGAAGAGAAAACGGCTGCTGGCACAGATAGCTGATGGGTCTGCTACGTGTGGTGTTTAGCACTGCAAGATGTAATCCAGGACCCACTAGAGCACGGATGGGGAGCAAGGAGTCTTCCCTTCTAGGCCTGATTCTGACACCCCTGGGTGCATTCGGTCAATACAGATTAGTTGAATTCATTCTCTGTCCAAGCACTGATTTGGGTGCTGCGGACACAGCTGGGCCATGCAGACAATCCCCGGCCTCGGAGTGTCTGCTATTCCCTCCCCTCCCCTTTTCTGATATACACATTGACCCTCCCTCAACTGGCTCATCAAGTGAATTACACACTTGAACCATTTAAAACCACTCCCATTTGGGGTTCACGTTGAGATTCACCTCCCCCATTTCAGAATGTTAGATTACACATCATAAATATACAGTTTTTATTTGTCCATTAAAAAAATACAAGCTGGCCGGGCGCGGTGGCTCAGCCTGTCATCCCAGCACTTTGGGAGGCCGAGGCGAGAAGATTACCTGAACCTGGGGGTTTGAGACCAGCCTGGGCAACTTAGTGAGTCCTCGTCTCCACAATAAATCACAAAAACTAGCCAGGCGTGGTGGCGTGTGTCTATAGTTCCAGCTACTTGGAAGGCTGAGGCAGAAGGATCACCTAAGCCCAGCAGGTCGAGGCTGCAGTGGCCTTGAGTGAGCCACTGCACTCCAGCCTGGGCAACAAAGAGTGAGGCTCCAACTCAAAAAAATAAAATAAAATAAATACAAGCTTACCTCCTCTTTTCAGAGGAGATAATTAATGTTTCTTTGGCAAATAGATGTCAGCCAAAATTTTGAAGGACTTTCCCTTGGGTCATTTGTTTTTGTGGAATGAAAGTTTATATTTTTAATAAAATGATGGTGCCTTTTCAGACCACCTCCACTTGTCCCCTTTCATTCTAATATTTCCCCCTCTGAAAACCACTACTTGGACAGGCTCATAAGAACGACCCCAAGTCCTGTTTCCTGTCCCTGCTTTATTTCCTTCTAGCTATGTGCTCTGGACTCTCTTTTTTTTAGATTAGAAAATATAGTTTATTTAGAAAGTAAAGTAGAGAGAAAGAGAGAGAAAGGAGATAGAGAGACTCACCTCCCCAAGGTAGGGAAGGAGGCCAAAGTTAAGAAACATGGTGACGGCAGCTCAGAGAGCCACACAGAGTCTAGGAAGGCAATGGTGGCTGGCGCCTTGAGTTTGAATGCTTTTAAACATTCCCCTTGATGGGGGCAAGGTCGTTAAGGGGATCGGGGGGTGGTCTGCTCCACATCATCACGGGGCAGGTAAGCGCAAGTACTGACGTCAGGTGATAGACAGCAGGCAGACGGGTCACGTGATTGCTGCCACGGTGGAAGGGGCTGAGTAGGTTAACTTGGGCCTTATGGGTGGAGACAAGTACTTGAATGTCCTGGACTCTCAGACGTCTGATGCCATCATCAGGCTCAGGCCTGCTGCCTCTCTCCCTGTCCCGTGGCTGTCTTCTGGATTGGGTCCTGGAGCCCCTGCTGTTTTTCCACTCTCCGGACTGTCTCCCAGGTGAAGATTCCCAGGACTAGCCACCTCGGAGACAAGCAGGGTCACACACATCGGCTGTCATTTCCGCATCTGAGGAATGCATGGCAAATGGTTCTTCAACTAACATCCCTGGCCATGGAGCTTTAAGGGGTTTGATTGTAAATATTTTTAATACTTCAAAAATGTATGAATTGCCTTGTGTTAGGACCAAATAAGTTAACCTGAGTGTCCTGTGTTTTTGTTTTATTTTTTTAAATGCAGGTCTATGATTATACAAATTCACTGTATAATAACGATAATTTGATGTTTACAGGAAGCTTTACCTGGCAGCAAAATAAGTTTTTATTGATAAAATAGAAGAAATAAACTAATAATATATTACTCAATAAACTTGGTTTGTTTAGGAAGAAAGAAGATTTCAAAACATGGTGGTGCTGGGATGCACTGGGCAAAGTAATGCAAGAAATGTGAGGTCTTGGGACCCTGGTGACCCTGGATTCCTTCTGGCCTTTACGTGTCTCTGCCATGCATCCCTGCCAGCTACATTTTACAGACAGGCCCATGCTGGTGTTTTTCCCTGTATAACTTTTGTTTTCCCAAATCCTACACTCACCAAATTTCAAACAACAGAATTGCAAGGGCAGAAAGCAAAAGTGCTTCTCGTGCTGCTGCAAAGTGTGGTGTGAACCTCTCACTTTCTCTCTGCATCTGCATTGAGGCTCGCTGGAAAGAAGTCTTGGCTGCAGCATCCTAGTAGCCTGCTCTGCTGCCAGCCGGCAGACTCCTTCTGGCCCTGGGTTTTCATTCCTGCGGAAGACACTTTCTTCTGAGAAAGGAGGGCGGTCCCTTGAGCAAGTGCTCAGACGTCCCTCAAAGGGATCTCCTCGGGGAAGGGCTCTGCCCAAGGAGGAGTTTTGTTGGGAGCCGGCCGTGGAGGCCTGCCTGAGCGTTAGGGATCCAGGCGGGCTGCGGACCTTGAGACCACCAGGCTGGTTCAGGAGCTGAAGGCCCATTCCCTCCTCCTTTCTTTGTTGTTTAGCATTACCCACTGGCAGGGATTTTGATGATCTAAGCATGAAGTTCTGAGAATATGACAGGCATGGCTGACTCTAGGGATCCAATGTTCCCGTTTCTCACAGACTGCATTTCGACTTTAAACTTAACACAGTTCAAACTCAGATCACATTTGGGAGCCTTATACATAATACAAGCTTCTTTATAAGATTTAAGAATATATTTGTAAAATTAGTATATACATTTAGAGGGCTGTTTCCAGCGTTAGATGGTATAGATGATTATCTAGGGTTACCAGAAATGGCCCAGCACAAACTTTGGGCTGGGCCACGTTCTTTAGGAACTGGTTTAAGCCATAATTAAGAGTTGTTTATAGTACAGGTAAAATTAGCACAGATAAAAAAGATATTAGGATTTTAGTCAGTTATATTGCTTTTGAGGAATATAAACCAAGCATGAGGAACAGTGAGATAACTTTGGGATTGTCCTTCCTCATTCCTAGGGAAACGCCTGGTGGGTGGGGGACACCCCCCACCTACCTGGCTTTGTGTTCACGTGAAAGTTTTGTGATTTGATTGGGATTGTCCTTCCTCATGCCTAAGGAAACACCTGGTGGGTGGGGGATGCCACCCACCTACCTGGCTTTGTGTTCACGTGAAAATCTTGTGACTTAACATGTGAAAGTTTGGGATAAAAGACTCACGGTTGGTCCCAATAAATGGCTTCTGCTCATTTCACTGAACAGTTGTCCACTGTCTTTCTTTCTCTTTATATCTATCCCTCCATCTTTCTTTCAATATCTATCCCTACTATAGAATCGGCTTCTGCACTAGACAGATTCCAGTCTCTTTCTTTCTCCTTATTTCTCCAGAATATTCGCCAACACTGCCCTGTCTTCCAGGGACCCTCTAAATCTCTTTTGGGGGGCTGGCCCCCCATAACAAATAGATAAATAAGCAAAATTAACTTTTTTAGCCTTCAAATGCAAAATAATAAGCTTTTGATCCCCTAAGACAAATATTTTTGTGACACAGTTCTACCACATAATTGTTTTTGTTTTCTTAGTTATACTTTCTAGTTCCCTGCTAACTGTTTTCTGTATAGGCTCACTTTTATTCTCCAATTATGTCATTGTAAAGATGAAATCAAGCCTAATTAAATGAGAACATGACAATAATTGTCATTCTATTATCAGTGTGAGCTATACTTTTTCTACCTATGAAAGGGTTCTTCAGTAAAGAAAATTATAGCTCTCATGGCCCATCAATTGTCTAGAACTAAAGACTAGCGTATTTACAACTTCTCATTCATTTAAGTCTCCATTCACTCATTTCTTCTTGTCTGTAGGTCATCTTTTATCCTCAAATAAGCATTTATTAAGCAGCTACTATATTAAGTGTCTACTACATGCCAAGTACTTTAGATACAGCTGCTCTAGGTACAGAAATAAACTAATTACAGTTTTGTCCTGAAAACTAATGGGTAAAAAATAAATGTCATTGATGTGACATGTAGCATACCAATATATGAGCAAAATTTACTGTGGCAATTTGAAACATTTTTCCCCTATTACCATACAGACACAGCAGAAGGTATTTACATATAGAATAACATTCAGGTGAATTCTCAGTAGTCAAACTATCATGTCACCCCTCTCTGCATAACTAAAGAAAGAAAATCTTAATCCATGAATAAAAATAAGAATGGCATTGAATGACTAATTTACATTAACAATTATATAATACAGTGTTACTAATAGTGCATTCTTTGAATAAATATTTACTGTAAGGCTAACGTGTCTGGCATGTACTGGCATCAAGTGGCGGCAAGACAGTTCCTGAACTCCTGGAGTTTTCAATTTGCAGTGAGGAAAAGAAGAAAAATTCATTTCAGATGGTTATGAAGACTAGGACATTGATGAGAGAGGATAAGATATAGAGAAATAATGTGTGTGGGCACACAAGTT